TGACACACTCGGGGAGGTCTGGTGTGGAGTTAGTGTCCATCCTTTCCGACACACTAAAGGAGATTTGGTGTAGAGTTGGTGTCTGTTTGTTCAAGGAAAGAACTCAGCACAGTCAGCCAGAGAGGAGGATCACAGCACAAGATCACATGCCCAGAGCAGGCTTTATTCCCCAGCATAGGTTGTAGGATAGGTAGGAGGGTGTCCATCCACAAGGCCCAAGATTGTCACTGGTAGCTGGCTCCATAGGCTCTGCTGTCTGTACTGAATGCCAGACCCTAGCAGCTTTCAGTTTCAGCATACATTGCAAGGCATGTTGTCGAAGGTGTCTGGGCATGGAGATGGGGTTCTGGTACCACACAGTGTTCTTCAGAGAAAGGGCCAATCTGTGTAGTGAACTTCTGCTGGCCAGGGCTGGAGACAACCTCCCAAGGACAGCCCCTCCCTCAGGACTGTCCCGGCTGCGGGCCTTGGGTGGGATGCTGAAACATGCCCACAGATGCCCAGCGGGAGCTGTGCTGGCTGGCCTGAGCGGGCTGGATCCCCTGGGAAGTGGCCAGGTCCGTGTGACTCCTGAGCAGGGCTGGATCCCCTGGGAAGTGGCCAGGTCCGTGTGACTCCTGAGCGGGGCTGGATCCCCTGGGAAGTGGCCAGGTCCGTGTGACTCCTGAGCGGGGCTGGATCCCCTGGGAAGTGGCCAGGTCCGTGTGACTCCTGAGCGGGGCTGGATCCCCTGGGAAGTGGCCAGGTCCGTGTGACTCCTGAGCGGGGCTGGATCCCCTGGGAAGTGGCCAGGTCCGTGTGACTCCTGACCGGGGCTGGATCCCCTGGGAAGTGGCCAGGTCCGTGTGACTCCTGAGCGGGGCTGGATCCCCTGGGAAGTGGCCAGGTCCGTGTGACTCCTGAGCGGGGCTGGATCCCCTGGGAAGTGGTCAGGTCCGTGTGACTCCTGAGCGGGCTAGATCCCCTGGGAAGTGGTCAGGTCCATGTGACTCCTGAGCAGGGCTGGATCCCCTGGGAAGTGGTCAGGTGGAGAGACTGATGGGACATGGGTGTTGCCAGACTGTCTCCTGGCACTGTATCTGAGCGTCCATGGCAGCCGGCACCCAGGCCTGCTCCTCACCAGCACTCGGCAGCCGGGCCTTCATCTTGCTGGCATGTAACTTTGTCTCATGAGATCTTCAACTTGCACTTCTCATCTTACTAATGAGGTTGGATAGTTTATACTTGTTTGGAGTTTCTGGTTTGTGAAATTCTTTTTATCACCAGAGTAGGGATTAGTAAACTGACTCAGAAGACAGTGAAATCCCATAGCATCAAAATGACTCAACTCTAGCCAGGAGCCAATGGCTCAGGCCTATAATTCAAACTACTCTGGAGGCTGAGATCTGAGGATTACGGTCTGAAGCCCAGGCAGGAAAATCTGTAAGACTCTATCTCCAATAATCTACTCAGAAAAACCTGGAAGTGGAGTTATGGCTCAAGTGATAGAGCATTACCCTTGAGCACAGAGAGGCTCAGTGGCAGAGCCCAGGCCATGAGTTCAAGCCCCAGGACTGGCCAAAAAAAAAAAAAATGCCCCCCAGACAAAAAAAAACAACTACTCTGTGCAATTGTGCATGAGTGTGGATGGCTTGGGAAGCTAGGGCAGTAGTACCAGACTGGCCTGAAGACCAGAGTTTGCTAAGCTCCAGTCCCCACACCCACCCTAAACTGAAAGGCTTGTCCCGAGAGCTTCACTTCCCCAAGGGAGAGAGGGAGGGAGGGGCTGCTCCTGAGCTTCACTTCACTGCGGTCCACAGTTGAGAGGGCATCGTGAATTATACTGCTAGCCTAGGGGAGATCTGACCGGCAAGTGTGGCTTTTGCTGTGTGCGTGTCTTTCACACAAGGTAGAGTTGATTAACTGTGAGCCTAGAACTGTCGGCACTCGTGCCTGTGTGTGTACACACACACACACACACACACGTGCGCGTGTGTGCACGGGCGCGCACGCTCGTGTGCAAATGCACATACATACCAGTCCTGGGGCTTGAACTCAGGCCTTGGGTTCTGTCCCTGAGCTTCTTTTGCTCAAGGCTAGTACTCTACCACTTGAGTCACAGCTCCACTTGTGGCTTCTTTTGGTAGTTTAGTGGAGATTAGAGTCTTGCAGACTTAACTGTGCAGATTGGCTTAAGCCAAGATCCTCAGATCTCAGCCTCCAGAGTAGCTAGGATGACAGGTGTAAGCCTCAGGCTCTAGCTACTTCCCGGTTTTTGAGAGGTTAATTGGAGATAAGAGTCTGACAGAGACTTTTTTGCCTGGCAGGATGGGGGGAGGAGAAGAGGGGTAAGGAGGGGGCTGGCTTTGAACCTTAATCTTCAACTCAGCCTCCTGAGTAGCTTGGATTATAGGTATAAGGCCACGGGCTCCCAGCTCCCGGCTTTACTGGTTATTTTTGAGGTGGAGACTCATGGATTTTTCCCCTTCAGTACAGGAGTTTGAACTGAGGACCTTGTACTTGCTTGGCTTTCTTGCTTAGCTGGTGCTCTACTACTTGAGCTACACCACCAGCCATGATTTTGCTGGTTAATTTGAAGATGGAATCTTCTTGACTTGGGTTTGAATCACAACCCACTGGATCTCAGTCTCCTGAGTAGCTTGGGTTATAGGGATGAGCCACTGGTGCCTGGCAAGTTAACTTTTTTTTTCTCCTTTTTTTTTGGTGCCAGTCCTAGGGCTGGAACTCAGGGCCTGGGTGTTGTCCCTGTGCTTTTGTGCTCATGGCTAGCCACAACTACTACTTGTGCCACAGCTCCGCTTCCTGCTTTTTCGTGGTTATTTGAAGATAGAGTCTCACAGACTTTCCTGCCCAGGCTGGGTTTGAACCGTAGTCCTCAAGTCTCAGCTTCCCCAGTAACCAGGATTACGGACAGGAGCCACCAGTACCTGCCTCTTTTAACAATTTTTACAAATTGGAGCTGGGCACTGGTGGCTCACGCCTGTAATCCTAGCCACTCAGGAGGCTGAGATCCAAGGATCACAATTCAAAGCTACCCATGGCAGTAAAGTCCTTGAGACTCTTATCTCCAGTTAACCACCAGAAAACTGGAAGTGGAGCTGTGGCTCAAAGTGGTAGAGTGCTAGCCGTGAGTGAAAAGAGTTTAGAGATAGTGCCCAGGCTGAGTTCAAGCCCCAGGACCAACAACAGCAAAACCTAGACAGGGTAATGGATTTTATCCAATGATTTTTATGTATCTGTTGGGAAGATCCTATCATGGTTTTTCTCTTTTTCTCTTAATCCTAAATAGTGTGTTTATACTGTGCCCACCCCTGTTCTAGGGATAAACCTAACCTAATGAAAATGATTGTCCCTTCTGGGTATTGCTGCCTGTGGGCTGACACATAAGGTTAGAGTGGCTCACGGTTTCCTTCCAGCTCGCACCTTGCCAGAGTTTGGTGTGTGTTGCTGGGGATTAAAACCAAGTCCTCGTGGGTGCAAGGTGAGTGTACATTTCCATGCTGAAAATACTGTCTTTTTACTCATGGAGATCATTGTTTGCTCTAAGACATCTTAGAAGCACCTGAAAACTACCGTGTCTGTAGGGTTCTTTGAGGGGATTTGACTGCCTGCTCTGTTTCTATAACAGATGTAGAATGTTTGGGGGTTTGGGCACTTGCCTCAATTCTGGTGCATTATTTTTCTAGGAATTTGTTAGTTTCACATAAATATTAGTTTTGTTGACATGAGTTGTTCAGTGTTCTTTTATTGCTCAGTGTCTTCTTTCCCTCAGGACGTCCACTGGCTGTGTATTGCCTGCCTGCTCCCCTTGGTTCTCAGTAGTGTTTGTCACCTCGTACTAGATAAGTGACCTGCTCACTGTGTTGATTGTTTATTGTCTCTCCCATGACATGTGTGTGTGTGGTACTTCAGTCAGAAAGTTGCACTGTGCATCACTGGAACTACTGGCCACACTGGCCTAAAATGAAGTACAATTAAAACTTTGGTTTTCTAAGAGCCACCCTTTCGCTTTCAGACAAGTCATCTTTTCAGTGTCAGCGCCTCACAGGGTCAGTGGCCTGCAGGCTGAGCAGGGGACAGTTCATGGAGGCAGGTCTGGTCATGAGTCAATTCCGTCTGCTCATCTGAGCACCTCAGGGCTAGTTAATGAGGACTGGAGCTGTGGCTCAGTGGTGGAGCACCTGCCTCGCAGCAGGAGGCCCAGTGTGGAGGGAAACCGTGAATAAGCGTGTTGTCATGGAAAAGCCTCAAGAGCAATGATGGTATGAGTTTGATAAGAAAAGGAGCATCACTTCATTACATCTTAGCACCTGTTGTTGCAGGTTCTGTCTAACTGCGGTCCTTAAACCACATGCAGCATGTCTTCCTCAAGCCCTTCTCTAGTGGTGCCTGTTCTTAGGTGGACAGAGCCCTGGACAGGGGCTCAGAGCGGCGGAGTGGAGCCGGGGTAGTCAGCCCAGGCAGGTCAGGGTGCCGGACCACACGTGGCGTCCTTACCACCCTTCGCTTAGCGGGGGCTCCAGGTCCCTGGGGCTGCTCTCGTCCAGCCTCCCCTGTTGCCAGTGTCACGCTCGCCGTTGCTTTCTGCCAGACTCCAGCACGGGCACAGGAACCACACGCATGGTCCTCAATGCGTATTCACTGGGTGTGTGGCGGATCTGTGCCCAGAAGGAAGGGCTCCGTACCGTGTGAGGACACAGGAGTTGCAGACATGTGACGTGTTAAGACAGTTGGTTGCTCCTAGGCCCTCCAGGTGGTCCCTGAGATCCCTCCCTCCCTCCCTCCCTCCCTCACATCTCTTCTCTGGGCTGGGCGTAGGGCCTCTGGCTTCATCTCCGTGTTTTAGAGCTTTCTTCACCATCATTATTAATCTTCTCTTTGAATAAGCAAGTAAACAAGCAGATACACTTAACCCAGCAAGGCTGGGGGATGGAGTCGATGCTTGCCTGGCCTGTGCCCTGTACCCCTATGATGACGACACCATTTCTGCTTCTCCACAGGCTTCACGATGTAGCTGGAACTCTAGGCTGTCATTCGCAGGTAAGTTGAGGCTGATCTTCCCTCTTCGCTGCCTGTGAATTGGTGAGCTTTACCTAGAATCCCTTGGCAAGTGCAGTGTGACCATGAAGAAGTCAGGTCCTTCTATGTCCTTGGTGCTGTCCTCAGCAGCTGGCTTCCGCTGGCTTTCGTTGGCTGATGTTTGTTTCTCTTGAGCGTGGGCCCGCCACCAGCTGTGTAGACACGGCTGAGATTCAGAGGGCTTAGCGGTGGGTTGTGTGCAGGGCTGTCAGTGATATGCCTGAGTAACAGTACCATTTCTGACCTAGAAAATGGAAAAAGAGCCAGGGCCAGAAGGAAGGTGCAGAAGTGAGCCTGAGTGCAGAGTGAGGAGGGATCGCCGCGTCCTTGTGGGGGCGCCTGAGGGACACGCAGACGGCCGGCGTTGGTGAGGCCCAGTGCTCCGTCAGTAAGGTCTGGCTACCCACGGAGGGAGGCCTGGGGTTCCATCTGTGGGGCCAGCCCTCCAGAGAGCGTGGATCTGGGGTCCATTCAAAGTGCTGGGGCACTGGTGGCTCACACCTGTAATCCTAGCTACTTGGGAGGCTCAGATCTGGGATCGTGATTTGAAACCCAGTCTGAGCAGACCAGACAAATCCGAGATTTTTTTTTTTTTTGGGGGGGTCCACTCGTGGGGCCTGAACTCTGGGCCTGGGCGCTGTCCCTCAGCTCTTCAGCTCAAGGCTAGCGCTCTACCACTTGAGCCACAGCGCCACTTCCGGCTTTTTTCTTTTTGCTTATGTGGTGCTGGGGAATTGAACCCAGGGCCTCATGCATTGCAAGGCAAGCGCTCTACCACTGAGCCACCTTCCCAGCCCCAAATCCAAGATTCTTTATCTCCAGTTAACCAGCAAAACTTGGAAGTAGTGGTGTAGCTCAAGGGGTAGAGCATCAGCTTTGAGCAAAAGAAGCCAAGCAAGAGCACAAGGCCATGAGTTCAGGCCCCAGTGCCAGCACAAAATAATAATAATAGTAATAATAATAATGACGATGATGGTCTTTAAAGTGGGAACAGAGGAGGAGGTAGGTACGACAGTGGTGGCTGGCCGTCAGATGACCTGGGGAAGGTATGTGGTCTGGAGGTGGTAAGGAACGGGTTCCATGGCCGTGCCCTGCCCTGGGCATCATGTCTGAAGGGTAGACGGTCATGCTGCATGAGGGCAGTCAAGGTCTGGAGCTCAGCAGGTTCTGAGTGGTGATGACTTACTGTGGAAATACAACCAGTAAGTCTCCTGTGCTGCTGAGTGGACAGACTAGTCTAACCATGCCTACACAGAGAGCATGAGGGGTGAGCATGCACAGCCATTTAAACTGTGAGCTGGGTTTGGGGCCTGGACCTCAGCGTCCATGCTCAGAGGCCTCATGGCAGATCTGGATAACCCTGGCTAAGGAGGAGCCCAGTCAGACTCCTGTAGAGGCCAGGGAGTTCTGTCTTCCTGGTGGACTGGTATGAGGCCGATGGGCCTCTCCTCAGGGCTTACCTTCTACCTGCTGCTGTGGCCTGGGACAGCCTAGTATCTGATGAGCTGGATTGGGCAGCAGAGGAGGACACAGGCTGTTGGACAGGGAGGCTCTGAAGGGAATGATGATGTCCAAGATGAGTATCATGTTGGGCTTAGGAGAAGGGCCGAGTGGGTCTGGAGACCCTGAGATCCTGTGCGTCAAGCAGCAGTGAGCACCAGCAGCTGACCCTGCTGTGTGGACTCGGCAGGGATCTTGGGGTCTCTATGCGTGTGCCATGCAGCTGCCCCAGCATGTCTGGCTGTGCTCTACCTCTACCCGCCCTTTCCCCCTCTGCTATCCCAGAGCAGAATCCTTGGGGATTCCATTGCAAACCAAGGGCCCCAGTCCTGGATTCAGACCTTCCCGGCCAACTCTCCTCTGCTCTGTTTTATAAACCCTCCCTACTTCTGTGCCACCCCTTCCCGCCTCCCCCCCCCCCCCCCCCAGCCTCCAGTAGGAGGGGAAGAGGCCAGGGCCATGCAGAGCCAGTGTCTTGGTAGGAAGGTCTTGTCATACTCCCACACTGTCTGCAGCTTCCTGTCCCAGTCCTCCATGAGACCATTCATTGTTCAACATACCCTCCAAATGAGGAAATGAACTAAGTACAGGCAGCTCATCTGCGGCCATGAGATGTCCCTGGAGGAAGTTCAGAGCCATGGGTGAAACACAGAGCAGTCGAGATGTTGACTAGTTTATCTGTGTGTTTCCCTTGTAGAAGCCAAAGATGTTGACCAGGAAGATTAAGCTCTGGGACATAAATGCCCACATCACGTGCCGCCTGTGCAGCGGCTACCTCATCGATGCAACCACGGTGACTGAGTGTCTGCACACATGTGAGTACAACCCCGACCCCTGCCTACTGTGGGTCACCCTAGACAGGCATGGAGGGAAGCTGCTGCAGTGTGCTCTGTAGGACTTTGGCTGTGTTTTGTCAAAAGCTTTGGGCTCCGGTGTGAACCACAGATCAGAAACATTAGCCTCCGAGTGAAGCTGTTGTGGGTGATTTCTCTGGAGTGAGAGTTCATTCTGGAAAGCTGCACTTATAGCAGCTGTGCTGTGAGTGTAAAGGGTTAAGTATTGACTTCCAGCAGGGAGAGACACCAGTTTTAAACTCCCCGATGAGATTCTGACATTTTTACAGGGATCTGGGATCTGTTCCTGTTACTTGGCTCCCTATTCGGCTCTCATGGGTGGTACACATTTGTAACCACCAAGGAGGAGTTAGTTAAGGTGAAGACTCATAACACAAATACTTTCCATCTTATACTTTTCTCTTAAAAAAAAGATTTCCCAGGTTTTTTTTGTTGTTGTTGTTGTTTTTGTTGGATGTGGGACTTGAACTCTAGGCCTGGGCGCCATCCCTCAGCGTCCTTTAGCTCTTCAGCTCAAGGCTAGCGCTCTACCACTTGAGCCACAGCGCCACTTCCTGTTTTCTAGTGATTAATTGGAGATTAAAAGTTTCTTGGACTTTCCTGCCTGAACTGGCTTTGAACCACAATCCTCCTCAGCCTCCTGAGTAGCTAGGATTATAGGTATGAGTCACTGGTGCCTGGCATTCCCAGTTTTTGTTTTTTGTCTTTTGGTTTTTTTTAGTCTTGGGGTTAGAACTCTGGGCCTGGTGCTGTCCTTCCGCTCAAGGCTAGCGCTCTACCACTTGAGATACAACAGCACTTCCGATTTTCTGAGTGGTTTATTGGAAATTAAGAGTCTCAAGGACTTTCCTACCTGGGCTGGCTTTGAACCGCAATCCTCAAATCTCAGCCTCCTAATTACAGGTGTGAGCCACCGGTACCCGGCCCAGCTTTTTTTTTAAAATAGGGGGTTAATTCATGAATTGATCAGTGCCACCCCTCCCATGGTTCTCCCCCATTTCTCCCAACACCACAGTCCCCTCAAATTAGTTAGTTTTCATTTTCTCATGTGTACATTGAATATTATGACTATATTCACCCACCTTTTCTCTTTTACTAGGGCATGGGGGTGTTTTTGGTTGTTGTCTTTTGTTTGTTTTATTTTTAGTGCCAGTATGGGACTTGAGCTCTGGGCACTCTACCATTTGAGCCATGCCTCTAGTTCCAGCTTTTTGCTAGAGGTTGAATCTCTTGGGTTTATTGCCCAGGCTGGCTCTGAAATAGGATCCTCAGATCTCAACCTCCTGGGTAGCTAAGATTGCAGGTGTGAGCTACTGACACTTGGCACGATTTGCCAGATTTAATAAAATTTTTGTTGTTGATGGTGGTGGTCCTGGTGCTTGAACTCTGGGCCTGGGCACTGTCCCTCAGCTCTTCAGCTCAAGGCAAGTGCTCTTCCACTTGAGCCACAGCGCCACTTCTGGTTTTCTAGTGGTTTATTGGAGATAAGAGTCTCACAGACTTTCTTTCCTGCCCGGGCTACCTTTGAATTGCAATCCTCGGATCTCTGCCTCCTGAGTAGCTAGGATGACAGGTGTGAGCCACCAGTCTCTGGCTTTAATAGAATTTTTATGTTGAAGTTACTCTATTGTTGGAAACTGGCAGCCAAATTTTGTCAGGCAGTTTTTACTGAATTGTATCTAGTTTTGTTATACAAGAGAATGCTATGATGATTTAGGCCAACTGGACGGAAATTCTCAATATTAGCTGTGTCGATGGCCTTTGGTGGCCGCATGCTGCGGTTTGCTCTCCGCTCAGCCTGCGCGTGGGGGGTGGGCTGGCCGCTGCACAGTCGATATTCCTTTCTACAGTGCTTCCCAAGGCAGGCGCTTTCTTTCAGGAGCCAGACACTGTGTGGAGGAGGCTGCTGGTGAGTGTCCCTCCGGCTAGGCGTGGGTGTTGGGACCGCTCAGTGCCGGGCCCGCGCTCACCTGCCGCCCTTTGCAGTCTGCAGGAGCTGCCTGGTGAAGTACCTCGAGGAGAACAACACGTGCCCCACGTGCAGGATTGTGATCCACCAGAGCCACCCGCTGCAGTACATCGGGTGAGTGCCGCGCGCGCCCCAGCGCTCACCCACCTTGGGCGGCTGCTCTGCTCCAGGCTGCCCGGGCGCCAGGCACGGCGGCCAGGGCCACGACAGTAGGCATTGCTTGGTCAGCAACTGTGCGGCAGCACCACGCAAGTGGAACTTTGCAAGTTTCCTAAGCGGGAAATGGAAGGTGTCCCAGATGTGCCTTTCTGCAGAAATAACCCACCCTGTACTGGCGTTCGGGCAGAAGAGGTGCTCGGACCAAAGAGCAGAATTTAGATCTGTGGGATCTCTCTGAAAGAAAATCCCCCCCACACACACTCGCCTACAAGAGGAAAGTAGAAATAATCTGAAACCAGGTTAAAGGAAGAGGCATTCACTTGTTTTCTGTGTAAGCATTGAACAGCATAGCATGTTGCATACAGAGCTTCGAGGCATACAGCAGCTTAGCTTTCCTAGGAACAGCAGCCCAGATTCACAGGTTCAGGCCACAGAAGGCCCTCCGTCCCATCAGCATTTCACTGTGGAACCAGTGTGAGTTTTCTGTGACTGTGGGCCCTTCAATGGATTGCCCATGCATGGCATCCCTGAGAAACTCCCATGGTCCATGGGCCCAGTTGGACATCTGGAGACATCCATTGGCTCTCTACCCTGAGCTCTTTTCTGTGTACCAGGTGCAGGGTAGATGGGAAGCCTTTGGATTAAGGATTCTGCCCATTTTCCTGTGGCTCCTCTCCGTGTGGTTCCAATTCCTGCTCTCTGCATTATGACCAGCAGTACCAGGCATTTAATTTTTCCAATACGGTGGCTCTGGGTAAGATTTACTCTGTGCCTCTGGTTTTCTCGGAGCTCCCAGGTCTACATGTTGACTGGCCATTGGCACTACTCTGTGGGTACCATCTGTCCTGGATGCTTTGAAAGTCTTGTCCCATCGCTGACTGTGGGCAAGCCGCACAGTCTGCTTTCCATCTGTGGTGGTGTTTTGCAGAGCTGGAATGAACTCTTGACAGAGGGATGGCAGAGTCTATGTGTGAGCCAGGGACAGGAGCCTGGAGAAGCTACCACCCTCTCCAGGGTCCTGAGCTTCAGGGCCTCACGCGGGGAGGCCCACCTTTTATCACAGGCTTGGCATCCTAGAGAGAATGAAGAATAGGTGCGGGCCAGGCAGAGGTAAGGGCTAGGATTTGAGTATATGTGTGGGGGCATTTATTGGGTTAGCGGGGGCTGGTTTGCCTCTGGCTTTGGACGCTTTGCTACATAAAGATACAGAGGCTGCGTGTTGAGTGGAGGCATTTGCCTTCTGTGGGCCCTGGACCTCTGGGACTCTTGGTCACGTCCAGGCTTTGCCTAGAATCACCTAGCTAGCAGCTTCACTCCTGCTCTCCTTCTACTGGATGCCGCACTCCCAGGGTGAGGCAGACAGCTGTGGTCCTGGGACACTTGGCTTTGGCTTACTTTTGGGACTTAAGGTGGAACAATGTGAAGTAGGGCCAGGGATGATGATGGTGTGAAACGTACCCTGGTCAGGGGCTGGTTTGGGACCATCGGGGTCTGGTAGACAGCATGCAGGAGAGAGTATAGAGAGTGCAGGAGAAACTCTGAAGCTACCATCCTGGATTGTGAGTGCATTCACTTGGCACCATTTCAAAGTACTGCCCTGCACTGTGGCTGTTGGACCTGCTTAGCACCTCTCCTGGGGAAGCCCCTCCAGCCCCACTTCCCAACCCCTGGCCCTGTCAGGTGGGCAAGGCCTACCTCATTGGTCAGAGCCCCAGTGTGGAGCTCTGGCTACCAGTCTGTGAGTTCTAGTGGAAGCTAGGCAGGTACAGTAAGACCCATGAACTCCATTTTCATACTACTCTACTTGTGTGTCCTAGTCCAAGCGTGAAATATAATTCCTCATGTGGTGAGAAGAATTCGTGTGACCCTGTGTGGTTCCACACCATGGCTGAGCTCACAAATGAGAGTTTCCAAGCCATAAGTAGTTTGTAGATGCAGCAAGTAACAGGCTTGTAGCAACTGGGTTGCCAGGATTGTAGCAGACCCTGGCTGCTATGCTAGGCCCTGGAGGGCTAGATGTTTGTGACTTTGTGATGTGTAGTCATTCATCAATTTTTGGGCATATAAGGGCTTTCTTGTTACAGAATGACGCTTGAAAGTTAACATTGGTTTGAAAATTAAGACATTCTTTAATTTTACCCAAGAAAAGAAAATAGTTACTTTAATGTAATTGTAAAAGCTTATGTTTAAGAATAACAAACCTGCCAGGCCCTGGTGGCTCACACCTGTAATCCTCACTACTCAGGAGGCAGAATCCGAGGATTTAAATTAAAAGCCAGCCCACGGGCTAGGAAGTTGGCTTATTGGTAGAGTGCTTTCCTTGTATGCATGAGGCCCTGGATTCGATTCCTCAGCACCACACAAGCAGAAAAAGCTGGAAGTGGCACTGTGGATCAAGTGTAAGAGCGCTAGCCTTGAGCTGAAGAGCTGAGGGACAGCGCCCAGGCCCAGAGTTCAGGCACCACAACCAACAACAAAAGCCAGCCCAGGTAGGAAAGTTTTTAAGACTCTTATCTCCAATTAACCACCAAAAAGCTAGAAATGGAGGTATGACTGAAGTGGTAGAGTGCTACCCTTGAACAAAAAAGCTCGGGGACAGCACCCAGGCTCTGAGTTCAAGCCCCAGAACTGGCATACACACACAAAAAAATAGCAAACCAGAGTATTGGAGATGGTGCCCCTATTCCTTCTCAGAAAGCCTGTGTAGGTATAACAGGAAGACCACAGAAAGAAAGCCTGAAGTCATGGAGCCCAGGGGCTGTAGGGTGGGAGGTCCCAGAGACACAGGGATATGGTAGCCCACATTTGTGGGCCACAGTGGTGCTGACTGTCCTGAGAGAAGGGCCCTGTACACTAACCCTGTGTCCAGCAGACAGGGCATTGGATCCTAGAAGATTTCATCTGCTATCATCATTTGACGCGTTCATAAATACCTAGGACCTAAATTAAATGGAATACTAATTCAAGTCATAGATAACTTTTTTGATAGCACACACTTCTATTTTGCAAGTAGAAAATGTGGAGAATTACAGGACCAAGGCCCTGTGACTAACTGACCCTGTTCTGTCTCTCTGCAGGCATGACAGGACCATGCAAGATATTGTTTACAAGCTGGTTCCAGGCCTCCAAGAAGGTGAGTTCAGGAGCCCTCTGCCCAGGTCCTCACCAGGCCGGGGCTGTGGCCAAGGCCTCTCCCCTGCAGACTCTCATCTCCCTACTCTGCTCTTAACACTGGGTTCTCCATTGATTTTTCCAACATGTGCAAACTGTTTTGGTTCTGGAAAAAGGCAAAGTATACCTCAAAGTAAAGTGTCAAGATCTTAAATATGTGCAGCGGTTTCCTTCCTGGTAGCGCAGATGTGTGAGAGGCCCTGCACTCTGTGTGGCTCTGCCTGCTGTCTGCCCCCCACCCCTTCCTGCTGTTTGATCTTGAGGCTGTTTGTGAGGGCCAGAGATAGGATTTTTTTTTTAACGCTTGACTATAATGCCCTGAGGACATGTGGGAAAGTGGTACTGACTCCCTCATGTCGCTTGTCCCCTCACGGTGATGTCTCTAGTTGGCTCATGTCAGCTTTCCAGTTGTTTTGGTCAGGACCCGCATAGGGTCTGTGCCTGGAGCTGACTTACAGGCCTCCTCTGGGCCTCTCCCGTCTTGTCTTTGCCTTGTCCTAAGGTTCTGGACTTAGCAGGGGACTTGCCGTGGCATCTTCGCATGTCCCGTGTGTTGGAATTGTTGGTGAATATATCCGTTGGGCCTGTCCCACTCGGGTCCATGTTTTTGGCAAGCCCACTACTGGGAAGTCCCTTTTCCTGAGCAGGTGGAGTCAGCTTCTGAGGAGATGGTGCCTTATTGGTAATTCCTGCCAGGCAACCGCAGTCCTGTGTTCATGGGTTTCTGAATCGTAATGCGTTTATAACGACGATTGCTGCTTGGTCTCCCAGTGATCCTGTTTCGGAAGATAGGCAGAATAGATGTCAAGTCTCCACATTTGCATGATAGCAGGTGGCTCATTTCCCTGGCCAGCCGCACGGCCTGTGTTCTCAGTTCATTGCATTATCTGAAGCTTGAATCGTCACTGCTTTCTGGCCAGCTGGCATCTCACATTTGGCTGGAACCCTATTATAGCCCTGGTGGCCTTAGATGTTCTGGGCTCCTTAAAGGCCAGGTTTCTCAGTCTCTGCCATGCAGTGCTGTCCTGAGGGCATGGCCTGGGTGCTGGGGACTTTGTTGCTGTGTCTTTTGGCAGTGAGGAAAGTGGTATGGGAGGGCGGTCTGGCTTGTTCCCATTGTTATCCTTGCCATATCCAAGCACCTGCCCTGCATGGCCACTGTTCCCTCTGGAGGTTTCCAGGAGTCTGGAAAGTCAGAGTTCTGCATTCACACCTCGGGCATGTGGAGGCATGGCTGCCTTGTGACTCGGCTTCTCACTGACCCTCACAGAGTTCACAGGCCGGCGTGTTCCTGATGCAGTGCTCTCAAGTGCTCTTTTAGTTACAGCCGCTTGTTACTCTTCAGGATTACTCTGGCTTTGAAACCATCAACAAGCGGTAAAGGCCGCCTGCCACTTCTTTGGCTTTCTTTTTTGTACAAGCAGTTGTAAACCTCATTTCTCAGGCCAGAGGTCTTTAGCTGGACGCTCAGGTAGACTGGGTCGTGCTTTGACCATGGTGGTGCTGCTGTGAGGCGCAGCATCGGCTCTGGGGGTCCCTGGTTAATTCTCGCAGGACAGCTGAAGGGCTCCAGCCCCTTCCTGGTGCTCTGCCCCGGGCCCTGCTGGCCTTGGCTCTCACTTGGACCCCTTGGTAACAGGCTTCCTCCACAGCTCCACCTGTGGTTCTGGAGCCCGTGCCAGCTGCTGACTTTTTCTGTTCCCTTGCAGGCGATTTGGTAGAAGTTCATTTTCAGTTATTCTTTGGTATTAATTTCTTTCCCTGAGGCAATATCTTTATCTAAACTTTATCAAGATGCCTACCACCCCCCTGCTTTTCCTTCACATTGCGGTGGCTTCTGTATCCACAAACACGATGTATATTCCTCAAGAATGCATGCCATATCTTTTTTTTTTTTTGGGGTCCGGTTGTGGGCCTGAATTCTGGGCCGGGGCGCTGTCCCTCAGCTCTTCAGCTCAAGGCTAGCGCTCTACCACTTGAGCTACAGCGCCACTTCCGGCTTTTTCCTTTTTGCTTATGTGGTGCTGAGGAATTGAACCCAGGGCCTCAGGCATGCAAGGCAAGCGCTCTACCACTGAGCCACCTTCCCAGCCTGTATGCCATGTCTTTACCAGTCTTCTACCAAGGGATATTGAATTTGTGTCTCATGGTTTGCTTTTTAAGAAAGGTATGCATATGGGTGAAAATATCTGTTGGTTTATTTCTTTCTTGTGGCTGATTGCACTATCTGGAACAGGAGTTGGCCCGCTAACAGCACCGGCTGCACCTGACTCACTGCCTGCCTCTGTGTGGCAGGTGAGCTCAGAACATGTGCTTCAGATTACACAGTCGGAAAAAAAAACAAAATAATCTTGCTTTGTAACATGAAAAGTACATAAATTGAATTTCGCGGTATGTTAGTCTCATTAGAAGCCAAGTATGGCTGTGCACACTTATAATTCCAGCCCTCAGGCAGCTGAGGCAAGGCCCTCCTGGGCCACATGGTAAGACCCTCTCTCAAATCCCCTCCTCCTCCTGGGGGTTGGGGGCTGAGGGCTCATGCCTTAATTCTAGCTACACAGGAGGCTAAGATCTGACAAAGTCAGCCCAGGCAGGAAAGTCTATGAGAGCCTTATCTGCAGCTAGCCACCTGAAAACCAGAAGTGGCTCTGTGGCTGACAGTGGTAGAGCACTAACCTTGCGCAAAACAGCTCAAGGACAGAACTGAGGCCCAGAGTTCAAGCTCCACAACAGACAGGCAAAACAACAACAACAAACCCTCACCCCCCCAAAAAAATAAAGTTTTATTGAGACACAGCCACGCTTATTTGTGAATGTATTGTATGTTATCTCCCGTGGCAATTACGTATTTGCTACATATTATGTGTTATGTGGTCATTGCTCTGATACACTGCTCAGCACAACAGATTCTTTTTTTTTTTTCCCCCAGTCCTGGGGCTTGAACTCAGGCCCTGGGTGCTGTCCCTGAGCTTCTTTTGCTCAAGGCTAGCACTTCACCACTTCCGAGCCACAGTGCCACTTCTGGCTCTGTGTATGTGGTAGTGAGGAACTGAACCCAGGGAGGCCTCATGCATGCGAGGCTAGCTCTCTACCAGAAAGCCATGTTCTCAGCCCCAGGACAACACATTTCTCAGCAGGAGACAGCCCTTTGCGTGCAGTGGTATACTGTGGTGAGACACCTTGGGCTGTCAGCACATGTCCAACATGCCAAAACAAGGAAAGAGGAGAAAAATAACCCTAAGTGTTAGCCTGCTGCTGCTGACCAGTTGCTACTAGTAGCAGAGCACTGTACTCACATGCAGTGATGTGTGGCTACTCACAGATAAGCCCAACACACAGAGACATGGTATCTAAGAAAAAATAGGGGGGCTGGGGGTTTAGCCCAGCGGAAGGGCGCCTGCCCGGCGTGCGCAAGGCTCTGGGTTCGGTCCACAGCCCTGGGGAAAAAAAAAACGGAAATTTTACCGTAGAACAGGTCATCAAAGAATCTTTTCACAAAAGCAAAACACAAAGATGAGGCTATAAAGTAAGCTGCTCATTGGCTCACTTGTCAGCCAAACAGGCAAAGCACTTATTTACTGACATGAATCAATTAAGGCATGTGTGACTGCAGCAACCGAAGAACACACTTACTCAAATGGTTAGCTTCTGGGTAGGAGTGCTCTGGGGCCAGGGACATTGGGAGCAGAATCAGCAGTTGAGTATGGAGTGTTCTTTCTTGGCATCACTAATGCTGCTCAAGACCTTGTGTTCTGTCAGTGCTGAGCAGAAAAGGAGCCTCTGGGATAGTCTTCTTTCAACGCTTCACAGCAGGATAGCCAAAATGTCTAGCTGCATAAGTTAACAAAACTAGCAAGAGTGTAGTTTTGAAGCTCATTGTTATTCACCATCAGGTATTTACAAAGCTTGTGGATCTTCCATGCTATAAAGCCATACTGTCCATGGTACACCTCATCTGCCCCCATGCCCATAGCCACCATTGACTCTAAAGGCCCAGCGAACATCCTGGCCTGTCCACCACATTTCATTGATTTGGCAGTGATAAAATGAATGTGTGTGTTTTTTTCTTTATCTGTTTGAGCAGAGGGCAGAGATGGCAATTTTCTGAATGAGAAGAACTTTTAACCATTGTTGTCAAACATTGAGTGGTTTTGGAGGTTAGCTTTTGCTAAGGACCTAATAAAGCTGAATATTGAGTTCACCTTGATATTTTAAGACAAAACATTTACATGTAGAATGTATTGCCAACATCAAGCTGTTACTCACCTTTCCATCAGTGTGACAAAATCACCAGCTTACCAGAAGAAGAACTTTATTGGTTCATTTTTGAGGTTTCAGTCCAGAATCAGTTGATCGTATGGCTTTGGGCGATGCAAGGCAATGCACTGGGAGGTTCGTGTGGCTGATCCTACAGTACTTTTTGAACAGTAATACAAGTGCAAATTAAGTTTCCATATTTCAGCATCTATTGAACTGTGTGCACATAAGGAGCTTTTACACCTATTCTTCAGTTAGAAGTGATTAATACGCAGCTGAGTAGCATGATAACAAGCAAATAAGAACTTCACAGAGCTCCATGACTGCATACTAAACAACAGCTCCCAGGATCCTATTCCTACACGCTTTCCACATGGGGTTCTCTCCACATCTTATTTTCTCATTAGCAACAGCATTTAAAGTTGATAACCCAAATCTACAACTTCCTTCATGTGCTGTTTGTGAAGCTTTTCTATAATTCTTTGCCTACTAAAGATGAAAGGTTATCTTAATTTTTAATAGCGGAAATGAGGAAACAGCGGGAATTCTACCACAAGCTGGGAATGGAGGTTCCAGGCGACATCAAGGGGGAGGCGTGCTCTGCAAAACAGCATCTAGACGCCCGGAATGGTGAGTAACGGCCGGCGGTTTGATGTCCAGGAGCTCTCCTCTTAGGCCTCCCCTCACAGACAGCAATGCGACCGGTGGAGTGGATCATGGAGGGGTAGGGAGCAAGAGGTCCGTGAAGCTTAGGTTGGGTGGAGGATGTCGGGGAAAGAGGAGCTTTAGGATAAAAGGGCAAAATGACAGTTTGATTTGGACATGAAGTTAGTGGCACATTAAAGTCTTTATCATGAATTATTCAAATAACTGAGTGGACCACACATGGATTGGGGGGATCATACGTGTTCCTAAGGGTCCTCCAGAGGTGCCTGGGATCCAAGGTCCGGTCCTAGCCTGCATTCAAGCAGTTGGGTTCCAGGAGCCAGTGTTCTAGGAAGGCTTCTGGGTCAGGGCCAAGGGCCCTGGGAGCTCATTCCATTCCCCAACCCCCAGATATACAGCACCAAACCCGGCTTTCCACCTGCTGTGCAGGGTCACCCTGTGCCACAGAGGAGTGACCTTGGAATGGCTCAGACTCACTGGGTTCCTCTTCTTCAGCAGCCTTCGTAGACTGAATGTCAACAGCATTTTGAGGGTTCTGTGGACTCTTAAAAATAGTGTAACATACTGCATTTCGTGACTCAGGTTGGGTATCCTTCATCCAAACAGCTTTGAGTCTGGAAGCATTTCAGATTTGGTGGTACATTTGCATATAAGACAAGCTGTCTTATGGAATTTCAAGATACATTTCATATACCCCTGTATATACATAGGCCCAAGGGTATGTTCATACAGTATTTTCAGTGTGTCTGTCTGGCTTTGGCCTGTCACAAGGGGTTGGTTGTAGAAGTTCCCACATACAGCTCAGGAAGTTTGGGGTTTTGAAACATTTTGGATTTTGGATTGGGAACACTCTGTCTGAATGGTTTTTCTGTTTGTGCTAAAAGGTGAAACCAAAGCAGATGACAGTTCAAACAAAGAAACAACAGAAGAGAAACAGGAAGAAGACAATGATTACCACAGGAGTGATGAGCAGGTGGGCTGCTTCTGGCGGGCTGGCATTCCAAACTGGGGTGTCTTGTGAAGCCATACCTGAGTTAAATGCCTGGGGGTTTTCTTCCTCTGAGTTCCACACAATATCTGTCTACCTTTTCTTTCTTTGTCTTTTTTTAACCAAAGTAATGTGGAGTGACTATAAAGCATTTCAAACAAAAAATTACAGGCTGCCCCTAGTGCTGATTGCTTAGCACCCCTGCAGGTCTGTACCATTTGTAGTCCATTTGTAGTCCTCTGGTGGGTGCTTTTCCATGCATGAAGATAAGGAGAGGAGAGTCAGCCTGCAGGGCGGGGGATGGTCCAGATCTCCTTCACTGTGTCATCAGATGAAGACGACCACTAGATCACTAGAGAGATGCTGCAGAAGGACTTGCTAAAACTTCCTAACCCTGCTTATAGAACTTTTTTTTTTTTCCTGTTGGTCATGGGGTTTGAACTCAAGGCCTGGGCGCTGTCCCTCACCTCTTCAGCTCAAGGCTAGCGCTCTACCACTTGAGCCACAGCTCCATTTCCAGTTTTCTGGTGGTTTATTGGAGATAAGAGTCTCACGGGCTGGGCGCTGGTGGCTCACGCCTGTCATCCTAGCTACTCAGGAGGCTGAGATCTGAGGATCGCAGCTCAAAGCCAACCTGGACAGGCAAGTCTGTGAGACTCTTTATCTCCAATAAATCACTAGAAAACCAGAAGTGGCTCTGTGGCTCAAGTGGTAGAGCGCTCGCCTTGAGCTGAAAAGCGCAAGGACAGCGCCCTGGCCCAGAGTTCAAGCCCCACGACCGATCAAAAAAAAAAAAAAAAAAAAGGAGTCTCACAGACTTTCCTGCCCGGGCTGGCTTTTAACCATGATCCTCAGATCTCAGCCTCCTGAGCAGCTAGGATGACAGGTGTGAACCACTGGTGCCCAGCAGAACAAGCAGTTTTTAAGAGCATGTGTATAAAGTGATTGATGTAAAATTCCTTCTACCTCAGTGAGGTAGAGCATACTTCTAATTTCAAAAAGGCCACCATCCTCAATGCAGGAACAGGTACTTACCCAGGAAAGTCCCTGAGAGTTGACAGAGAATCCCTCTTACTGTGCCACCTACACGTTCCAGGTGAGCATCTGTCTGGAATGCAACAGCAGCAAACTTAGGGGCCTGAAGCGGAAGTGGATTCGTTGCTCGGCCCAGGCAACAGTCCTGCACCTGAAGAAGTTCATTGCCAAGAAGCTCAACCTCTCCTCCTTCAATGAGGTAGGCAGCCATGCACTCAGGAGTGGGGACAAGGCATTTCTCCTCTGAGCAGTTTTGGAGATTGTGGGGGGAGAGCACAGTGTGGACAGTTTCAGCCACGGTACTGCCCGTGTCCCTCAGTCAGGACAGATCCCCAGGGATGGATCCGTCCCCCAGACTGTGGTGTGAACACAGCCTTGTGCCCTCTGAGGACGAAGGGCTGGCTTGGCCCCAGCATCACTGTGTGGGAAGCGGGAGCGGCCAGCTCCCAGCTGCCTCTGGCCCTTGAGGAACATCAGTGCTTTTATGAATGTTCCCGATCCTTTGTAGCTTGTGCAGCACCGACTCCTGCTCCCAGGAGGAAGGAGCAGCTCCAGGCCCAGGCAGTGTCATTCTCACCGTCGCCCTCGGTGTCGGTCCCTAACCAAAGCCCTTCTCCCACAGCTGGACATTTTATGCAATGAGGAAATCTTGGGCAAGGACCATACCCTCAAGTTCGTGGTTGTCACCAGGTGGAGATTCAAGGTGAGAGTGCATGGCACTTGTTCTCTCTGTGATGGCTCCAGTCAGACTGTGGTGACGCAGCAGGATCATTTCGAGAATCATTACCACAGCCGGGCACCGGTGGCTCACGCCTGTCATCCTAGCTACGCTGGAGGCTGAGATCTGAGGGTCACAGTTCAAAGCCAGCCCAGGCAGGAAAGTCCCTGAGACTTTTATCTCCAGTAAACCACTAGAAAACCAGAAGTGGTGCTGTGGCTCAAGTGGTAGAGCGCCGGTCTTGAGCTAAAGAGCTGAGGGACAGCGCCCAAGCCCAGAGTTCAAGTCCCACAACCAACAAAAAAAAAAAAATCACTACTGTAGACAGAGTCTCCCTTCCCCCGTCCTCCCCCCCCCCCCCCCCAAGAGACCGGTGTCAGAGGGTGCAAGTTTGGGGGAGCGACCCCTGCATGGGAACAAATCTCCAAACCCTTGGGCCAGAAACAAGCAGTGAATCTCTGGGACTGGGAGCGATCTAGCTGAGCCACTGGCTAGAAGGAAAAGAAAAGCAGCAGCTAAGTGGGCCCAGGTTCACTGCCTAGGGGCGTAGCTGACCAGTGACCGGGGGGGGGGGGGGGGGGCATATGAGAGAGAACACAAGAAGGACCAAAGCCAGTGTGGTGGGCAGGAGGCACTGGTTACCAGGACCTCTTCCAGGCCTAAGGAGCCACGGCCCCACACTCCGTGCCACCCAGGACAGAAAGCTCCTGCCTTCCTAGTATCTCTCTGCCCTCTGAGGAGATGGCCGTCTGGCCGCCGTGGCTCCCCCCCCCCCCCCCCCCCGCCCCTGCCAGCAACTGTCTCTGTCTTGCAGAAGGCGCCCCTCTTGCTGCACTACAGACCCAAGATGGACTTGCTGTGACCTAGCAGTCTCGGCGCCCTCGGGGCTCCGTGCGGTGACCCTGCTATGGAATGTCACCTCTTGGGTGTCATGCGGACCAGATTTCTGAATAGAGAATATTTATAACTTTTGTATGAGAGAATCCACACCCGAGACACTACCAGCACGCGTTTACAGAGGATGAAGACACTTGGCAGTTCTGTGTGACCGCGCACACTCGTCTCTGCTTCGTCCCCAGGCCGGAGGGCGAGTGCAGCGCGACCTGCTTCCGCCACCTCGCCCCTCACTCTCGCCTGCTGCCCAGGTCATGAACCGCTGACTTCGTATTGGTTTAAGTCATGGATTGGGTTTCCTGACGGGCCTCAAAAATACTTGTATTTTTATCGCATCCTTCCTAAGTTATTGAAAAAGAGCCTTTTCATGGTAAATAATATTTATGTTGCCTTTAGCTTCCTGAAACTTAGAAGATATATAAAAATTTAATTTAAAAGCATACCCAAAGAGGCTTGCAGTAATACTATGATTTAACCATGGTGATGAATTTCCACCTTGTAGGATATAGCCAAGGCCTGCGCTGTGTCCTGGGCCGGCCTGAGCAGCCAGGTGGGCAGGGCTCCTTTGTCACCCCACAGCAAGATTCCAGCACGCTCGGCAGGGCAGACCAGAGTAGCGCTGGCTTGCAGAAGAGTTCCTGGTTTAGAAAGGGCCCAGATGCCTGGAGTCACCATCCGTGTTCCTAGCTCTCCCTTCCGTTCTGCTGCCGGTGCGCCGTGGCAGTGGCTGTTTGGTGCCTGCGGACAGAGCCCAGCCCGTGGGGCCACGCCTGCTGGTGTGCCCCTGTGCCAGGCTTGCCCTCCGGCCAGGGGCAAGGGCGAGGGTGGTGTGTGCGCTTCGTGGCTCGGCTGAGTGCTGCAGGACGGGCCGGGCAGGCCAGGCCGCTTGGCTCTCACAGGCAGGCGGCCCTTTGTTAAGCCCTCTCACCTCCCAGTGTAATTGGGTTCAATTTTTAAATTGAATTAGAGGATCAAATCGTTGCCACCACGTGGATGTTTGTCCCTCATGGCAGAGACGGTATGGGGCAGGAGAGCAGAGGAGAGGCGCTTTTCTGTGGTGGTTGGAGTCCCGTGGGAAGCTGCACTGAGCACTACTTCTTGATGATCTGTGGGCTGGATTCTTCCCTTCCTTCCCCAGGCCCTGGGCAGATGGCAGATGGCCCCCAAGGGGCCCACTCAGCCCACTGCCCTCCAGCAATTGCTGGGTAGACAGAGGGCCCCAGTGTGTCCATGAGTCTTCACCATAGCCACTGGAATTTCTTCTTCATTTGCTTTGAAAGTTGGTTGGGCTTGCGACAGCTAGTTTCGTTTCCTTTTCACGTACACAAAATGTTAGAAGCAGCAACTGATGAGACTTAAGGTCAGTGATGAGGAAATGTCCAAATTAACTCATCCAAGCAATCTTCAATGTGAGGCCTTTCTTAAAATAAAAACAAGCTCTTTGTTAGTAATTGGTCAAAATTCACCTCTTTATTTAAGCCCAGGACTCTCTGGATTACTCAGTTTCCTGAGCTTGCTATTCATCCAAATCGTTTCTAGAGTTACTTACTATATAAGGGTTTATGAGTAAATATTACCTGTCTACCTCAAAACACAAGACACTGCTGAAGTACCCGGCAGGACCCTGTTCTCACAGTGCAGCTGAAGAGTACCATTAGGTTTAGGTGTTTTCTGTATGGTGAAACTAAAGGATTAAATGGTTAGGAGCCTCCAAATTCAAATAAAGATAATTTACAGTTCTGATCAAATGTAGTATGGCTGTATAATCTCATGACATGCATTTGTAACTTTGTAGCTACCTTTGGAATCACTTGACTTTGCTATGGTGCTAAGTTGACAAATCTAAGTTGTGCAGCAGTGCAGACCTCCCGTCTGGGCGCTGCCCCTCACAGCCCTGCTCTGTCACCATGTTAACCTGATAAACCTCAGCAGCAAAAGTACCTATTTTTCTAAGATTCCATCACACACCTGGCTGCACTTGCAGGTGTCTCCCGGTGCCCTCTGCCCTTTGGTCTGACCTGTAGCCTTACCTCGCTTGGAGACAAGCAGAGTGAACCTGTGTCTGATGGAAGCTTCGGGCCGCCTCTTCACCCCTGCCGAGCTCCATGTGACAGCATGAGTTCCAGGCCCTGTTAGCGATTGGTCCTGTTGAGTTTCCCAGCAGGCCTAGCTCCTTCGAAGTCGTTTTCACAGCTGCCGTACAGGAAGCCCGGCGCTGCCGGAGGACCTGCAGGCCCTGGTGCCGGTGCCGGTGCTGGTGGCGGCGGCCGTGGGACCAGCCTCCCAGCACTGGTCTCGCCAGACACCATTTTCATGAAAATAGAACTCAGATAGAATATATAATATTGAATTTAAGATTTGGGGGGTTAAAAAAGAAAACTTTATAAAATTATTTATTCTATTTTAAGCCTTCTATCATATTTTCCCATCCAATCGTTTGGTTTCCGTGGTCCAGCTTTATTTACAGGCATATAAAATGAAATTGTGAGATGTTTTGCAAGCTTCTTTTACTTTGTGTAGCCTTCATATGTTTTTATAGGGATGAAGAGCATTTTTATGCTTTTGTGCAATAGGTTCCAACATGCATTTATTAGATGTGTTTTAATTGTGATCTAGCATCGATTCTACTAAACTGAAAGGGAATATAGGTGGAATTTCAAATTATGTGTATTCAGCTGTTTGGTTTTCTTTTTCGTTGTTGTTATAAGAATGCGGTATTGGGCCGTGTGCATGAATACTTGCCAGCAATATCCTGAAACAAGCAGCCAGGCTTACCTAGGTCCTGGTGCCGGAGCCTGTGTGCGCATAGCCAGGCCACCCTGGGGTGTGGCCTCAGCCCACAAACCTAGTGGCCTTCCTTCATGGCTAGCGGGCTTGAGGCCTGGCTTTGTGTCAGTCTTTGGAGATTGGTTTGTTTCTCAGGGCTGAACGGCCTAGGAGCGAGCCAACAGATTTCTACATAGTACGTAGAGGTTGAGTGTGCTCCCAAAGCATTAAAAATAAATAGAGTGCAGATAGCTCAATCACACAGAACAACCAATGTCTGTTTCCTCAGGAAATCATGTAAGCCCCACATCACATGTGACCTTACTCAAAAATAAGGTTATTTCTCCACCTTGATACTTAAATACACCACATGAATCGACCGCTGTCTGTAGTTTGAAAACTGACACTTGTTTCACACTCTTTGCACACTGCTCTCCCGCCAGGCCAGGACCGGATCACGGGGGTGGGGGGCTGGGCTGTTCACTCTCATCCCTGCCACTCCCAAGAGTGCACTGAGGAGTGTGTAGCTTTGCGTAAATGTCTACATCCCAGCTCTCAGCTGGGCTCCAGATGTGTTTCCTCGGTGAAAATACGTCCAGCCAGGGACGGTCCCGTGAACTATCGCCTCAGAATGGTGAGCAGAGGAAAACGCCACAGTATTGAAAAGGATGATGCAGATACAGATTCTGATGTTTGATTTGAAAGTTTACATTTTTTATGCTTGTGTTGGTGTGTGATTTTTGTACCATCGGTGGCTAGTTTTTGTCTAAATCTTTTTTGGAATATTGCTTAATGTTTTGATTTTATGATAGTGAAGCTTGTATTCAGTGTTTTGCCAACTAATATTATATGCTTGTAATAAAAGCAGAAGAAAAACTTGACTAAGAATCTCCCAGGCTGGAACTTTATTATATAGAATACTTGTAAGAACGTAAGACAGTCTCATGGATACAGTTGGCCTTCTGTTCATCAGATGCTACATCCATAGATTCAGCCAATCATAGATTGAAAATATTCAGGGAAAAATTCATTTGAACTGAAAATACAGACTTTCCTGTCACTCCTTAAACCATATACCATAACAACACAGCATTCATATGTATTAAGTATTAAAGTATTACAAGTAATCTATAAAGTACGCAAGAAGATGTGCATGGTTATAAGTTAATGCTAAGCCTTTTTTTTTTTTTTTTTTTTTGTCAGTCATGGGGCTTGAACTCAGGGCCTGGGCACTGTCCCTGAGCTCTTCAGCTCAGGTCAAGTGCATTACCATTTGAGCTACAGTGCCATTTCTGGTTTTCTCATGGACTTTCCTGCCAGGGCTGGCTTTGAATCATGATCCTCAGATCTCAGCCTCCTGAGTAGCTGGGATGACAGGCATGAGCCACCGGTGCCTGGTGCTCTATGCCATTTCATAGAAGGGACTTGAGACCTGCAGATTCTGGTGTTGGTAGAGAATCTAGCCCTGCGATGCTGAGATACAGAAGCCAGCCATTCAGGTAGGCTCACCCACGTTCATGTACTCGGCACAGGAGCACATGCTCACTACATGTGTGCATACTACAGCCTGGCCACAATGCGCACAGGAGCATTCTGTGCATGTACACCGCACGGTCACGTGTGCAGGAGCACATGCTCACTGCATGCATGCTCGCTGCACACAGGAGCGCACTACGTGCATGTACACAGCACGGTCACATGTGTGCATAGGTTCACTGCGCTCTCCTAGGTATACCACCTTTTTTCTTTACTCTGCACAGCATTTGTAACATGCTGTCTGTTACAGAACATTTAAACTGGCCCTGGGGAACCTGGAGTGCACTCAACTGGTCTGAGTGGAGCAGGTGTGACAGCAGGCGTTGGGGGCAAGCCCGCTGGTTCTGTGGGTGGCTGGCTGGAGATATGGTCAAAAAGGGAAAGAAAAAGTGCTCGCCAGACTTACCAGGGTTTTTTTTTGGGGGGGGGGGTACTGTAATTTTTATTTCTTATTACTATAAAAGTGATGTACAGAGTAGTAACAGTTACGTAAATCAGGTAATGAGTACATTTCTTTTTGGACAATATCAAGTTGTATAGCTCATTTTCAACCAGACTTCAGTTTTTAATCTTCCATGGCTGGGAAGGTGGCTTAGTGGTGGACTGCTTGCCCAGCATGCATGAAGCCCTGGGTTCGAATCCTCAGTACCACATACACAGAAAAAGCCAGAAGCGGTGCTGTGGCTCAAGTGGTAGAATGCTAGCCTTGAGCAAAAAAAAAGCAGCTTAGGGACAGTGCTCAGGCCGAGTGCAAGCCCCAGGACTGGAAAAATTAATATAATAGTAATAATAATCTTCCACTTCTCTTGCAAACCTGAGAAAACAGGAGGGAAAGAATATTGACCAAAATTAAATTCTCATGGCCCTAAAATCAGTAAGTTGAAAAATAAATTTGCCTTAGAAAATGCTTATTTTCTGGGGCTGGGAAGGTAACTCAGTGGTAGAGCACTTGCCTTGCTTGCATGAGGCCCTGGGTTCGATTCCTCAGCACCACATAAGCAAAAAAGAAAAAAGCTGGAAGTGGCGCTGTGGCTCAAATGGTAGAGCGCTAGCCTTGAGCTGAAGAGCTGAGGGACAGCGCCCAGGCCGAGTTCAGGCCCCACGACCGGACCCCCAAAAAAAAAAAAAAAGTTAAGCCGGGCACTGGTGGCTCACGCCTGTAATCCTAGCTACTCAGGAGGCTGAGATCTGAGGATCGCAGTTCAAAGCCAGCCCGGGCAGGAGAGACCGTGAGACTCCTATCTCCAATAAACCACCAGAAAACCGGAAGTGGCGCTGTAGCTCAAGTGGTAGAGCGCTCGCCTTGAGCTGAAGAGCTGAGGGACAGCACCCAGGCCCAGAGTTCAAGCCCCATGACCGACCAAAAAAAAAAAAAAAAAGTTATTTTCTGCAAGTCTTTTGTTGTTTTGTTTTGGCCAGTCCTGGGGCTTGAACTCTGGGCCTGGGCTCTGTCCCTGTGCTTTTTTGCTTTAGGCTAGCACTCAACCATTTGAGCCACAGTCACTTAGAGTTTTTTCTGAGTAGTTTACTGGAGATGAGTCACAGGTTTTCCTGCTCAGGCTGGCTTCCAGCCTTCTCCTTGGATCTCAGCCTCCTGAGTAGCTAGGACTACAGGCGTGAGCCAGTGGTACCCAGCTTCCGCAGACTAACCTCTGAAGAGTTCAGGACCATGTCACACTATGTACCACCAGTGTTGATGCCTTTTTGTTTGTTTGCTGGTCCCCAATCTTGAATTCAGGGACTTGGCACTTCCTTTGATCTTTGATACTAAAGGCTAGCATTCTACCACGTAAGCCACAAATCCACTTCCGGCTTTTTGGCGGTTAATTGGAGCTAAGAGACGCATGGACTTTTGCAGCCCAGGTTGGCTTCCAACCTTATTCCTGGATCTCAGCTTCCTGAGTAGCTAGGATTACAGGCTTGCGCTACTGGCCCCCAGCTTTGCCTTCCCTTTAGAAAAGTGATGGGGAGTGGCAGACTCGAGTCCCTACAGCAGGCTCTGCTCCCACCTGGCAAAACTGCTTCGGGGCCTGCAGGAGCTGTGGGCCTGGCTCAGGCTGCTCTCCAGAGCTGCTCTGCCTGCAAGCCCTGCTCAGCTGCGTAACCACGGACTCAGCTGCGGGCCTGGAAGGCTGCGGGTCTCCCCTGAAACAAACTGGACAGTGGAAGAGAAACTGGTGGTGTGACTGAGACCAACACGGACAACGTTTTCTCTGGGAGTGCTCACTTCCACCAGAGGTCAACAGCGTTTGTAATGCATTGGGATGATTCTGTCCTTGGGGATGGCTGAAGGAGCGGAGGGAGGCCTGTACCATGACCATCTCTCCATGAGCACAGTTGTATCTAGGAATGCAGATTATCTTGCTCTCTTTTTTTTTTTTGGTCCAGTTGTGGGGCCTGAACTCTGGGCCTGGGCGCTATCCCTCAGCTCTTCAGCTCAAGGCTAGCACTCTACCACTTGAGCCACAGCGCCACTTCCGGCTTTTTTTCTTTTTGCTTATGTGGTGCTGAGGAATCGAACCCAGGGCCTCAGGCATGCAAGGCAAGCGCTCTACCACTGAGCCACCTTCCTAGCCCCTATCTTGCTCTCTTATACCAACATGAAGCTGTGCTCATGATGAACCTGTAACCTGTAATATGCTCCATCATCTGTAATTCTGAACTACTCAAGAGGCTGTCTGAGGAACCCAATTCAAAGCCACCTTGGACAGGAAAGCTTATGAGACTCTTTATCTCCAGCTAACCAGTAAAAAGCCAGACATGGACATGTAGCTCTAGTGGTAGAGTGCATGTCTTGAGAAAAAGCTGAGTTCAAGCCCTAGTTCACGGGCACACGTGAGCATGCGTGTGCACACACTCAGACAAACCATATGTATGATAATCCCAGTGTTATAATACCAACAACTTGGGAGGGAGGCAGGTGGATGCTGAGGCCAGCCTGGAACACACCATTAGACATTGGCTCTGAATAAATTTAGGAAGTAAGCAAATCAGGCAAATGAGCATCTTTGCTGTGTTTGGTGCCTTTTTTTTTTTTGGTCAGTCGTGGGCCAGAACTCCGGGCCTGGGCGCTGTCTCTCGGCTCTTCAGCTTCCCAGGGCCTCATGCATGCAAGGCAAGCGCTCTACCACTGAGCCACCTTCCCAGCCCATGTTTGGTGTCCTGAGGCGGGAGGCAGCTTTGTGCAGGCCTGCCAGGACCAGTTCACAGAGGAAACACTGCATTCTTTGTGGGGTGCCACAGGCTTGTCTTTGGATTGCTTTTGCACATTAGGGTTATTTGACCAATACAACTACTCACCTGATTTTAGGGACTGATAATAACCAGCCTGGGTTTTTTTGTTTGTTTTTTGGGTCCAGTCGTGGGTCCTAAACTCTGGGCCTGGGCGCTGTCCCTCAGCTCTTCAGCTCAAGGCTAACGCTCTACCACTTGAGCCACAGCGCCACTTCTGGCTTTTTTCTTTTTGCTTATGTGGTGCTGAGGAATCGAACCCAGGGCCTCAGGCATGCAAGGCAAGCGCTCTACCACTGAGCCAACTTCCCAGCCCTAACCAGCCTATTTTTATATAAAACATTTTTGGCAGAACAGCTTGAAAACACAAGTGTCTCCCTTTATAAAAACTATTTCAGGAAAAGGGTAACAATGCTTGACAAGAAGTGTACTCATTGACTTACTCATGTAACTGTAACCCCCCTGTACAGCATCTTTATAGTAAAATAAAATTTAAAAAACTTACGAAGCCAGGCACTGGTGGCTCACGCCTGTCATCCTAGCTACTAAGGAGACAGATCTGAGGATTGCAGTTCAAAGCCAGCCCAGGTAGGAGCGTTGTGAGACTCTTATCTCCAGAAAACCGGAAGTGGTGCTGTGGCTTAAGCAGTAGAGCACTAGCCTTGAGCAGAAGAGCTGAGGGACAGCGCCCAGGCCCAGAGCTCAGGCCCCACGGCCGGACCCCCCCCCCCAAAAAAAAATTATTTCAAGGTGCTCTGCCATTAGGAAAAAAAAAAAGCTTTTTTGATAGGTAAGAATAGAGTCACTGGGGATGCAAGTCAGGTCAGTGGGGGACTGAAGGTGGCCGTCCAAATAAGTGGGCTCCAGGGGTGAGGAGCAGGGGCTCCCCGCCCCGGTTCACACCAGCTCCCACGAGCAGCTGGGGCACGCGGTCAGACATGGCTGGGAGGGGAGAGGGGAATCAAAATGAATAACTTCAAATTTTCAAAATGGGGTTCGCACATTAGTAGGGGGCTGTTGATTAGTAGGGGGCTGGAGATAGGGAAAAAGAAAACCATAAAGAGGGTTATTCTGACTAAAAAAATGTGGGCTGGGAAGGTGGCTTACTGTTAAG